AAATACTGTAAAATTAATGTAAATCTCATGGATCGACCCATAAAACTGACTTATACTTCATTACAAACCAACATACCTATAGAATTGTATTGATCACAATTGTGGTGGGAACAATAATTTGTGGAGGGAATCACAAATGTTAGCCTCTAAACGTTAGTGGCTCTCGGTTACTCCTCATAATGGAATTCATCTAGTTGGAATTCATCTATAGTTGGGAACAGAAATCACTGGTACTCCAGTTAACTGTCCCAGGTATCCTCTATAATTCAGAGGGTTAAGGTTAGGGTCGTGTTTACAGAGCACCAGATAATTATTTTGATCTAACACAATTTTAAAAAAAGCTGAACTTGAGCCTTGATTGTACTGTAGCAAAAGTGTCCCCAAGAACACTGCACATCCCTGATGACTGTACTTTACATTTTAGTAATTTAGCAGACGCTCTTATCCAGAGCAACATACAGGAGCAATTAGGGTTAAGTGCCTTGCTCAAGGGCATGTTGACAGATTGTTCACCTAGTCGGCTCGGGGATTCGAACCAGCGACCTTCCGGTTACTGGCCCAACGCTCTTAACAGCTAGGCTACCTGCAGCTTCTGTGACCTCACCATGTCCCTCTGTGATAGTAGCATGTTTCTGTGTGATATTAACTCCTCTCTGTATGACATCTATGTGTAACATGAACACCTCTGAATCTCTGTGATGTCACAATATTTATGTATGATGTCAACGCCTCTGTGACATAAACATGTCATCATGTTTCTGACATGACATGGCAAGCACACCTGTGACAGATTTCTCAGTGACATCAGCACATCTTGTGACCAATTCATCCTGTGACATCATCCTGTCTGTGTGATCTCACCACTACCACCACCATCCTATACATGAAGTAAACAACCAGAAACAATCAAACACATTGCTACAAATATAAATATGATATACTAGGTGATCAAAACTGGAATGGGACTACATTTGAAAATCGGAACTCCCACGTTATGTTCCGTTTTTAGCTTAAGGCAAGCGTTAGTCTAACCTACCACAAATTAGCCAAATATTTACCAGTTTAAGGATGCTATGCAACTCAAGACGTAACGAATCAAATCTCCCAAAAATCTAACTTGTAAAAAATAAAATGCACAGCCCATCTGCTCTCTAAACCACAATTAGTGCATTTCAGTGCAGTGGAGAACCTTATGGGGCTCTGGAAACAGAACAGCGTGGGAGAGTGACAGAGAAACTAGTCAATAGTGTTGAATGCTAAGTATTCATGGGTGAGGGTTGAGAGAAAAACGCAGCTATGCTACAGAGTAGTGTGTGTGTGTAAGTGTGTACGTGTGAGAGAACAGTCGTGAGAGTTTTGAAGGATCTAGAAGGCTTGATGCATCCCTCTCTTAAGGCCTTAGAGGAAATGCAAGCAGCTTCAAATTTTACCCACAATCCCACAGTGAGAGATGAGACAGCGTAAAACATCAGAGTGCATGGGAACTATAGTGCTACATTGACTTTTATACAGTACCATTTCAGTACCTAAGTGCCTGTCTAAAGAGAGCAAAAGCCAAATAAAAACCTCTTGTTCAAAACCATACACCGTTTTTCATTACACGCAAATTCATCTTAACTTAACGCAAAGGCAACAGAGTATGGGGTCTTGGTTATCAGGGCTAGAAGTGATATCTGTACAGCTGTGTAAATTGATGAAATATGTTTTAGGTGTGTCTGAGGTGAAGTTGGACAAGGTCTGTGGGAGAACAGCTGTGGCTACGGCTCGGCCAGGGTTGCCATGGTGACGGCACACACAGCCATGCCCTCTAATGACTCTTCCATCTCCTCCTCCTGAGACAAACGAGTGAGTTTAAGGCCAACTAGTGAAGAGAGAGAATGAGAAAGAGAGAAATAACGACTAGCGAGGAAAGAGAGAAACTGACCTCATGATCAGTGAGGGATATACAGCGATAAGCACACTACATCTCATACTGTACACACTATGCATATTGATATATAAAAGCTGTGTTGTCGTGGTTAGCATTTGCGATATTTAAAAATGTAGAAAGTTGAAGTAAGCAGCCAATAGGAGAGCCCTATGTGTGTCTGTTGGGCAGGGCTTAGTGGATTATCGGGGTCTAGCAGTCCAATGTTACAGTGCAAGAGGAATTAGAGCTGACCCACTATGTCAAAGAAACCAGACAGAAGTCTAACATACGTAAACACAAACACCAACACTGCTCCTTCCATTCACACACACACATATTAGAACATAACATTGTGCTTGGAGCTCCGCTGAACGGGTACACACTGGAAGTTAGACCTGAGACACATTTGAGACTCAACTTCTCACGTACAAAACTGACACCAAATCAAGCGAAGGGTTACCAACACTAGTACCCACCCATTTACACAACACACACACACATACGTATCTTCATCCAAACGTCCAGTGGGAGATGAGAGAACAGAAGCAGCCAGACAGAAGAGGAGCCAGAAGGATGAGAAGACAGAGGAGTTGCCATGGCAACAGCAGTCCCAAGGACAGAGACACCTGTCAGTAGAGTAGAGGACAGAGTTTGGGGGCCGAGGGGGCGGGGGTTAATCAACGTGGGGAGAAGCCTGTTGCTATGCTACAGCCAACCACTTGCGTCATGTCCCATATCTGTGGAAAGAAAGAGCCAATCAGAGAGTCAGTAAAGTCAGATGAAAAACAGACAGATGAATATGCAAAGATGAGTCATACGCATAGAAAGTGGATATACATTAATGCACGTCACAATGGTAAAATGTAAACAACCAACACCTCATCATTTTTGGAGACAGGTTATTGACATGGCAGTGCTACTGTAGCTAGCAACATAGTGTAGAAGCGATTGCTAACTAACTGTAAACAATTTTAGCTGACTAGCTAATAATCTTGGCTAACTTTGGGGCGAAACAATTCACTTACTTACTGTTAATTAGCCAAGATTTGCTAGCAAAGGCAATGCTGTCTCCAAAACGGCAAGATGTCTCCAGTAATGTTTACTTTTTGACGTTCTAGAACGTTTTCCGCTTTCCAAGCATATTAAAAACATTTAATAGTATTGGGTCTAATCCCCATTGATCAGGGACTGTCTATCTGACCACTGTGGTGAATTATTATTAATGAACTGTAGAGTTTAATGGACTATGAGGTAGAACTGGGTTAATCAAGAGCATAAAGTTAGAATTCTTTGTTACTGGGCCAGGAATTGTATTGGGTCATTTAATTTCACTGTGTGGGTGAGTAGAGAGGGAATCTGCCCTAGGGTCAGAGTGCTTGCTCTTACTTAGATCCATGGTTGTCTTATCATATCAAAGACTGAAACTGGCTTGGGACGTTTGTTTTTGTCTTCAAACACAGTGAAAAGAGCCAGGGTTGAACAGAGTTTAAACTAAACATGAGTGTTTTTGCAAGATAAGGATTGATTGAGTGTAGTACTCTGAACTTAATGAATGTTGAGTTTAGCCGCTCTCAGAGACAAAGGAAGTGGGCAGAGCAATAAAAGAGCGGGAAAACTGAAGAGGACTATATAAAATGGAGGGAGACCGTAAGGGGGGGGGGCACTCTGCAGACTGGTATCGGCTTTGTTGAAACTTGAATAAAGTAATTTCTTGATGCAACAAAAACTCTGTAAGACCTTATCTGTAATAAAATATAGTGGTTATTTTCTGAACAGGGCTGATAGTATGTCTGACCTTGACGACACGGTCGCTGCCACAGGTCACCATCAGGCCTCTGGAAGGGTCCATGTCCATAAAGGCTATGTTGTGCTTCCCCTCATGGAACGTTGCTAACGCAGTACGACTGGAAGACGAGACAAAGTGGTACGTGAGGACAACAAGTAGCAAGGAATGAGGGGGTGGGATGAAGAAGACAAAAGTAAATCTGAGTCACATTTTTATTATACTCCATTACAGTATTATTACATTGACATTCCATTTAAGTCATTTAGCAGACACTTATCCAGAGAGACTTACTTAGATTGTTTTGGGATGTTTTTATTACTCTATTATGCTCTATTACTAGTGTATCATACTCACTCCTCGTCCTTAACGGTGTCGTAGCAGGTGTCACACACTCGCACCTGGAACTCAAAGCCCATCACAGGGTATGTAGTGCTCTTGGAACTACACTTCCCACACACCGCTTTGCCACACTTCCTGCAGTGGTGCTGAACCAGGAAACACGAGGGTTAGTCAAGGGTCAAAGAATAAAGACTGATCACTCCTAGTTCCTGTATTTCTATATGCCTGTATCTATATTTCTACCACTACTATTACAATTCAGTCACAAGGATATTTGTATTACAGTAATGGCTACACCAGGGGCTGCCTGCCCTCTCACCTGCCGAAGCCCAATGGTCTTAGAATCACATATCAGCATTAGCCAAGGATCAAAGAATATGGACTGATCACTCCTAGTTCCTGTATTTCTACCATGACTATTATACAGTTACAAGGGCAATTCTTACAACAGTAATGGCTATGTCAGAGCCTTGTATTATATTCTCAATACAAGGCTCTGGACTATACCAGAGGCTGCCTGCCCTCTCACCTGCCGAAGTCCAATGGTCTTTGAATCCCCATCAGCATTAGCCAAGGATCAAAGAATATGGACTGATCACTCCTAGTTCCTGTATTTCTACCATGACTATTATACAGTTACAAGGCAATTCTTACAACAGTAATGGCTATGTCAGAGCCTTGTATTATATTCTCAATACAAGGCTCTGGACTATACCAGAGGCTGCCTGCCCTCTCACCTGCCGAAGTCCAATGGTCTTTGAATCCCACATCTGTTTGACGTTCCAGAAGAAAGGCTGCTCACACTTCTGACATGAGTCACTGTCCAACCACTGAGGAGCCTGTAGAGAGTCAAGCAGGAAGAGAGAGAGAGTTACATACAGAGTAGAGAGGGAGTGATGATACTTTGTAGCAATGTTCAACTTTCAACACCAGAGGGTAGTACAGAGCTGGTGACGGTCCTTAACCAAGGCGATTGGGAATACAGCAGCCTCTAAGGCAGAGGTGGGCAAACTACGGCATGTTTTTTGTTCTTGTTTTTTTTTGGGGGGGGGCAAAAGGTTTACCCACCCCTGCTGTAAGGAGAGGAGGGGGTGCAGAGAGGCATTGAGATGTATTCCTGGCTCCTGATATACCGTGCATTCGGAAAGTTCAGACCCCTTGACTTTTTCCACATTTTATTACGTTACAGCCTTATTCTAAAATTGATTAAATTGTTTTCCCCCCTCATCCATCTACACACAATACCCCATAATGACAAAGCGAAAACAGGTTTTAAAAATGTTGCCAAATTTATTAAAAATAAAAAACAAATACCTTATTTACATAAGTATTCAGACCCCTGCTATGACACTCGAAATGGAGCTCAGGTGCATCCTGTTTCCATTTATCATCCTTGAGATGTTTCTACAACTTGATTGGAGTCCACCTGTGGTAAATTCAATTGATTGTACATGATTTGGAAAGGCACACACCTGTCTATATAAAGGTCCCACAGTTGACAGTGCATGTCAAAGCAAAAACCAAGCCATGAAGTCGAAGGAATTGTCCGTAGAGCTCCGGGACATGATTGTGTCGCATTGAAGGTCCCCAAGAACACAGTGGCCTCCATCATTCTTAAATGGAAGAAGCCTGGAACCACCAAGACTCTTCCTAGAGCTGGCCGCCCAGCCAAACTGAGCAATCGGGGGAGAAGGACCTTGGTCAGGGAAGTGACCAAGAACCCGAAGGTCACTCTGAAAGAGCTCCAGAGTTCCTCTGTGGAGATGGGAGAACCTTCCAGAAGGACAACCATCTCTGCAGCACTCCACCAATCAGGCCTTTATGGTACAGAAGCCACTCCTCAGTAAAAGGCACATGATAGCCCGCTTGGAGTTGCCAAAAGGCACCTAAAGGACTCTCAGACCATGAGAAACAAGATTATCTGGTCTGATGAAACCAAGATGGAACTCTTTGGCCTGAATGCCAAGCGTCACGTCTGGAGGAAACCTGGTACCATCTCTACGGAGAAGCATGGTGGTGGCAGCATCATGCTGTGGGGATGTTTTTCAGTGGCAGGGACTGAGACTAGTCAGGATCGAGGGAAAAATGAACAGAGCAAAGTACAGAGAGATCCTTGATGAAAATCTGCTCCAGAGCGCTCAGGACCTCAGACTGGGGCGAAAGTTCACCTTCCAACAGGACAACGAACCTAAGCACACAGCAAATACAACGCAGGAGTGGCTTCGGGACAAGTCTCTGAATGTCCTTGAGTGGCCCAGCCAGAGCACAGACTTGAACCCGATCAAACATCTCTGGAGAGACTTGAAAACAGCTGTGCAGCGACGCTCCCCATACAGATGTGCCCAGCTTGTAGCGTCATACCCAAGAAGACTTGAGGCTGTAGTCGCTGCCAAAGGTGCTGAATACTTATGTAAATATTTCAGTTTTGTATTTTTATCAATTTCCTTTGTCACTATGGGGTATTGTGTGTAGATTGATGAGGATATATTTTTAAACCATTTTAGGATAAGGCTGTAAAGTAACAACATTTGGAAAATGTCAAGGGGTCTGAATACTTTCCGAATGCACTGTGCCTACCTCTTCTCTGGGTGTGTCCATGTTCCACACTGTGACGCCTCCATCTGCAGAACAGGACACCAGCTGCCTGGTCAGCTGCAGGTAGCGCACCGCCTGCACTCGTTCACTGGAGACGGGGAGGAAGAGAGAGAGAGAGAGGGGTGAGGAAAAAAAGGAGGAAGGAATAATGTAGAAAATAGAGTAATCTTTCAAAGAATTCCAGACATAAATTGTTTAATGTAGTAACATAATGATAGAACTTCAGTGGAACTCCATTGACTTGGTCTGATAGCTACGCCATCTGGGGAGCTCACAGATGGTAAAACATGCATAAAAATAAAACACTACGAAGTGAACAGCTCCCTGCGACAGCTGGTACTGACCTACAGAGCCTTGCTTCCGATAAGCATATGCACTGGATAACACACACACACACACACACACACACACACACTCCCTCTTACTGGTGTCCCTGGAGCAGTAGTGTGCGTCCCTTGCGGCCCCCGATGTCCCACATGATGACACTGTGGTCAGACGCTCCTGAGAACAAAAGCCTCTGAACAGGATCCCACCACAGAGCTCCAATACTACCTGAGAAAGGGGGGGAGAGAAAGAGAGAGAGAGAGAGGAAGCAAGAGAGAGAACAGGAAGTTATGACAACAGACGGGTGGTTGGTTTGGCAACTGCTTGGCATCCGACCGCAAGGCGCTACAGAGGGTAGTGCGTACAGCCCAGTAAATCACTGGAGCAGAGCTCCCTGCCATCCAGGACCTATATACCAGGCGGTGTCAGATGAAGGCCCTAAAAATTGTCTAAACTCCAGCCACCCAAGTCATAGACTGTTCTCTCTGCTACCGCACGGCAAGCTATACCGATGCACCAAGTCTGGAACCAATAGGACCGTTAACAGCTTCTACCCCCAAGGCATAGGATTTCTAAATAGTTAACCAATAGCTACTATCTGCATTGACCATTTTTGCACTCTTTGACTCATCACTTACGATGCTGCTACGTATGGGATAATCAACGAGGGGCTATGCATTCTATGGAAAATAATGAACGATGTGGAAGGTGTATAATTTACCACATTTTCCGCTAGAAATGTGTTCATTTGCATGTAGAAATGTGTTCAACATCCACTGAAGTAACCAGCAAGTTTACTAGAGTAGATAGTTCAGTAGCTAGTTGCTTTGGTGATCAAACAAACAGGCTTGCAAGTTTAGCTAACCAAACCATCAGCCCTATTGCTATTATGAAAATCAAATTCAACAATACCAATAATGTTTTCAATTCGACTTTTGCTTTCAAAAGCAGCTCAAACATAGAACTTGTAAGAATGAACTACAGCCATTGAATTCTACCGTGCTGACATACCATGCGTTATAGGGAAATAATACACGCTCTAGAATGCCCTTCAAGCCAATCAGAAATTAGTATTCAACAATGCCATGGTATAATGTTTATTATAAACCAAGTAGTTTGGCTCCTGGATGAAAGCCGTGGTATATATCAGACTGTATACCAAGGGTATGACAAAATATGTATTTTTACTGTTCTAATTACATTGATGATAATAATAATAATAATAATAATAATAATAATAATAATAGCAATAAGGTACCTTAGGGGTTTGCGGTATATGGCCAATATACTGTACCACGGCTAAGGGCTGTATCCAGGCACTCCGTGTTATGTCGTGCATAAGAACAGCCCTTAGCCATGGTATATTGACCATATACCACAGCCCCTCATGCCTCATTGCTTAATTATCTATCCTGTTTCCTAGTCACTTTATCCCTACCTATATGTACATATCTACCTCAATTACCTCGTACCCCTGCACATTGACACAGAACTGGTACCCCGTCAAGTACAGTGCATTTGGAAAGTATTCAGACCCCTTGACTTTTCCACATTTTGTTATGTTACAGCCTTATTCTAAAATGGATGAAATTGTATTTCTCAACAATCTACACACAATACCCCATAATGACAAAGCAAAAACTGTTTTTTAGTATTTATTTCAAAAAATTAAATACCAAGAAATATAACATTTACATAAGTATTCAGACCCTTTACTCAGTACTTTGTTGAAGCACCTTTGGCAGCGATTACAGCCTTGAGTCTTCTTGGGTATGACGCTACAAGCTTGGCACACCTGTATTTGGGGAGTTTCTCCCATTCTTCTCTGCAGACCCTCTCAAGCTTTGTCAGGTTGGATGGGGAGCGTCGCTGCACAGCTATTTTCAGATCTGTCCAGAGATTTTCGATCGGGTTCAAGTCCGGGCTCTGGCTGGGCCACTCAAGGACATTCAAAGACTTGTCCCAAAGTCACTCCTGCGTTGTCTTGGCTGTGTGCTTAGGGTCGTTGTCCTGTTGGAAGGTGAACCTTCGCCCCAGTCTAAGGTCCTGAGCGCTCTGGAGCAGGTTTACATCAAGGATCTCTCTGTACTTTGCTCCGTTCATCTTTCCCTCGATCCCGACTAGTATCCCAGTCCCTGCCGCTGAAAAACATCCCCACAGCATGATGCTGCCACCACCATGCTTCACCGTAGGGATGGTGCCAGGTTTCCTCCAGACGTGACGCTTGGCATTCAGGCCAAAGAGTTCAATCTTGGTTTCATCAGAACAAAGAATCTTGTTTCTCATGGTCTGACAGTCCTTTAGGTGCCTTTTGGCAAACTCCAAGCGGGCTGTCATTTGCCTTTTACTGAGGAGTGGCTTCCATCTGGCCACTAAACCATCAAGGCCTGATTGGTGGAATGCTACAGAGATGGTTGTCCTTCTGGAAGGTTCTCCCATCTCCACAGAGGAACTCTGGAGCGCTGTCAGAGTGACCATCGGGTTGTTGTTCAGCTCCCTGACCAAGGCCCTTCTCCCCCGATTGCTCAGTTTGGCCGGGCGGCCAGCTCTAGGAAGAGTCTTGGTGGTTCCAAACTTATCCCATTTAAGAATGGAGGCCACGGTGTTCTTGGGGTCCTTCAATACTGCAGAAATGGTTTGGTACCCTTCCCCAGATGTGCCTTGACACAATGCTGTCTCGGAGCTCTACGGACAATTCCTTCGACCTCATGGCTTGGTTTTTGCTCTGACATGCACTGTCAAATGCGGGACCTTATATAGACAGGTGTGTGCCTTTCCAAATCATGTCCAATCAATTGAATTTAACACAGGTGGACTCCAATCAAGTTGTAGAAACATCTCAAGGATGATCAATGGAAACAGGATGCACCTGAGCTCCATTTCGAGTCTCATAGCAAAGGGTCGGAATACTTATGTAAATAAGGTTTCTGTTTTTTTATGTCTAATATATTTGCAAAACATTTCTAAAAACCTGTTTTCGCTTTGTCATTATGGGGTATTGTGTGTAGATGATGAGTGACATTTAAATTTAACAAAAATTGAATAAGGCTGTAACGTAACAAAATGTGGAAAAAGGGACTATGAAATAACACATATGGAATCATGTAGTAACCAAAAAAGTGTTAAATCAAAATTGATTAATTGTTTTAGACGCTTCAAATCATTCTCTCAACCAGTTTCACCTGGAATGCTTTTCCAACAGTCTTGAAGGAGTTCCCACATATGCTGAGCACTTGTTGGCTGCTTTTCCTTCACTCTGCGGTTCAACTCATCCCAAACCATCTCAAATTGGGTTGAGGAGGCCAGGTCATCTGATGCAGCACTCCATCACTCTCCTTCTTGGTCAAATAGCCCTTGCACAGCCTGGAGGTGTGTTTTGGGTCATTGTCCTGTTGAAAAACTAATTATAGTCCAAGTAAGAGAAAACTTTAAGTAAGAGATGGGATGGCGTATCACTGCAGAATGCTGTGGTAGCCATGCTGGTTAAGTGTGCCTTGAATTCTAAATAAATCACAGACAGTGTCACCAGCAAAGCACCCCCACACCATCACACCTCTTCCATGCTTCACGTGGGAACCACACAAGCGGAGATCATCTGTTCACCTACTCTGCGTCTCAAAAAGACACGGCGGTTGGAAGCAATCAGACCAAAGGACAGATTTCCACCAGTCTAATGTCCATTGCTCATGTTTCTTGGCCCAAGCAAGTCTCTTCTTCTTATTGGTGTCCTTTAGTAGTGGTTTCCTTGCAGCAATTCGACCATGAAGGCCTGATTCACACAGTCTCCTCTGAACCATTGATGTTGAGATGTGTCTGTTACTTGAACTCTGTGAAGCATTTATTTGGGCTGCAATCTGAGATGCAGTTATTCTAATGAACGTATCCTCTGCAGCAGAGGTAACTCTGTGTCTTCCATTCCTGTGGCGGTCCTCATGAGAGCCAGTTTCATCATAGCGCTTGATGGTTTTTGTGACTACACTTGAAGAAACTTTCAAAGTTCTTGACATTTTCTGGATTGACTGACCTTCATGTCTTAAAGTAATGATGGACTGTCGTTTCTCTTTGCTTATTTGAGCTGTTCTTGCCATAATATGGATTTGGTCTTTTACCAAATAGGGCTATCTTCTGTATACCACCCCTACCTTTTCACAACACAACTGATTGGCTCAAACGCATTAAGAAGGAAAGAAATTCCACAAATTAACTTTTAAGAAAGCACACCTGTTAACCTCTTAAGGATTGCACCCTTTTTTTCTAATTTCACCTAAAATGACAGCCCTAAATCTAACTGCCTGTAGTTCAGGACCTGAAGCAAGGATATGCATATTCTTGATACCATTTGAAAGGAAACACTTTGAAGTTTGTGGAAATGTGAAATTAATGTAGGAGAATATAACAAGAATTAACAAGGATTTAAGCTTTCTGCCCATATAAGACATGTCTATGTCCTGGAAAGTTTGCTGTTACTTACAACAGTCATGCTAATCACATTAGCGCACGTTAGCTCAACCGTCCCATATACGGGACACCGATCCCGTAGAGGTTAATTGAAATGCATTCCAGGTGACTACCTCATGAAGCTGGTTGAGAGAATGCCAAGAGTGTGCAAAGCTGTCATCAAAGCAAAGGGTGGCTATTTGAAGAATCTCAAATATATTTTGATTTGTTTAACACTTTTTTGGTTACTACATGATTCCATATGTGTTATTTCAGAGTTTTGATGTCTTCACTATTATTCTACAACCTAGAAAATAGTAAAAAAAATAAAAGACAAACCCTTGAATGAGTAGGTGTTCTAAAACGTTTGACCAGTGTATGTATGTATGTATGTATGTATGTATGTATGTATGTATGTATGTATGTATGTATGTATGTATGTATATATATATATATATATATATACACACACACACACACACACACACACATACACACACAACTGCTACCACATTGCATGACGATATAGCATAGCACCATACAATCTGCTAGCAACATTTCCTCTTTTAAAATGATTGCCATTTAGAGATGGCATCTGAACAGTTTGCAGTGTCCGCTTCCATGCATAGGCAGATGTACAGTATACGTGTGTCACAGGAGGCTGCTGAGTGGCGAACGGCTCACAATAATGGCCGGAACGGAGTAAATGGAATGGAATTAAACGCCTGGAAACCATGCGTTTGATGTATTTGATACCATTCCACTCCAGTCATTCCCACCAGCCCGTTCTCACCAATTAATGTGCCACCAACCTCCTGTGGTATGCGTGTTACCTTCATGGCCCTTCAGTGTGGTGATGGTGGAGTAGGTCTCTCTCTCCAGTTTCAGCAGGGTGATCTGTCCTGAGTAGTCCCCTACAAAGGCATGCTGGGTGTCGTTGTCATACCTACACACAGAGTCAAGGAAGATACACAGGAAGGGCACATAGGAAGTTACCTTTGACACAATAAGTAATTCTTAGGAATATGAACATTACAATAAACTGACACCTGTCCAGCTCTCATGCAAACAGAGAAGGATACTGTAGACAGGAGGCCCAGGAGCCGAAGTAGTGGCGTCCCAGCATACTGCCGCTCTGGGTGCACATCCAGCTCACACTCTTGTCGTGTCCGGTGCTCACCACCCACTCGCTCTCCAGAGAAAACACCATGTCTGACACACGGTTCTGATGGGCTGGACACACACACAGACAACCACAATGGGTTAAATACACGCACACACAAATTCATTCTCCACTCAACTTTCTCTTTCTGCAAAAGGTTTGAGTGAGTAGAATGACTATAAATTACTTAATGGAGCTTTTCTGTTCTGGGCTCATTTTCTCTGCTGGAAGAGAACTGCTGGAAACTTCCACAGTGACATCTGTTTTTTAGCATCTAATGCTTAAAACTCTCAAGTTTCCCAAAGCAGGGATTTACCAGTGATGAGAGCAGGGTCCAGGCTGCATGGCTAGGCTGTTAGTCATATAGATCATATTCTCTGAGCCTGGGGGAAGGGGACTGTAATAACAGAATAATACAAGTAAATCAGCCAATATGAAGTGGTGGTGGATCATCTTCAAGTTATGATTGCTTGGACAATGATTACTTTCTCATCTCACACTGTGGGTCTGGTTCTGTGAGTGTATGCATGCATGTGTTCTAAGCAGCAATGACATCAGCCTCGATTTCCTGTTCGAGTCCACAGAGGGACATTTGCCCAGAGGCATGCTTGGTAGGGACCAGATGATTTCTCATGGGACTGGGCGGGACTGCAGAACACAGCCCAGTAGACACACTAATGCACACTAAAGAGCCATTATCACTGCAGTATACTGTTCCTGATACACAGGACTGCATTACTGAACACTAGAGATAATATCATGTCTACATCACCAAGGCGTCTTAGTTCTCATTGGCTTTGTAAAGGCAGGAAACCCCCACTCAGATCTCACCAGGATAGGTCTTCACATGGTTCATCTTGTTGAAATCTTCAGACAGAAGGAATTCCTGTTAGGACCACCAAACAATAGTAAAGATCAATTACCAGTCCCACTCTTATTCCATGTAACTTCATACTTCTAGCTTGTTCCTCATTCAAAGCAGGGAAACATTTGAAACTGGGTCAGTGTGAACCAGAATGGCATGTTATGAGTCCAGTCAAACACAGGCAGACTGGGGTTTAAGCATGAGGTAATCTTTAAGGCTTCATTCAGCTCACTCACCACAATGGCTCCGTTGTCCTGCCCTATGAAGATGCGCCTGCTGTCGTGATGGTACGACATACAGGAGCACGGCGCTAGTACAGAGAATAAAACTATGTATTGAAAAACAATTGCGTATGGCCAATGTTTTGATTCAAAAGTATACGCTTCAGCTATTTTTAGCACCTAGTGGATGTTTCAACTGAGGGCTACTTCTAATCGGTTGTGGTACTTACAGGAGACTGTGTGGTAGATGCTGGGCCAGTACTGTCCACTGTCTCTCTTCAGCCATACCCGGATAGTTCTGGACAGAGGACACAGGAAATGTCATATTCAAACTTCAAGTGCCCCTCTTGGCACTGTTCCTGAAAGTGCAGCATAATAAGTCTCAAATGTGAATAGGGATCACAGTACTAGACCTTGGGCTACTTGGGAGAAAAATATCTGTGTAAAAACATCAGTTCCTCTATTGCAATACAATACAGTTTTATAACACCATGAAATTCTCAAGCCACAAGATCATTGTGACTCGTGACACAAAAGGAGAGTACAGTGCCATTACGACAGTCCCGTCATGAGAGATATAAAAAAATAATCCTGAACCAACATCTAATACTACTTGATTCTCCCTTCCTCAAAAACATTCATTTTCTCTTCAACCACCAGAAGCTTATCCTATTGGGGGTAGGGAAGGGTATCGCTCCAGAGATTTCAATTGTCTCTATACCTTGCTCAGGATATTGCTACTCAATGTACAAATTGACCAAGCATGACCACCACATTAATTTGCTCTGATCTAGGCCTGTTGCCTAAAGTTTACCTGAAGAGGATGGCCTCCCGCTCTAGAGCCAGTTCCCATGCTACCCTCTCTTCCTCACCATTTATGCATTACTTTTTGGAGGAAGGTGTTAATAGCCTACATCTCTTTTGTGTGGTTAGGGGTCAGGGGGTGTACAAAATGACTGAAAACAAAACAATGTTCAACTGCAATTGGGGTTGGAGGTGGCAGTAACACTTGTCAATTGATTCACTAGTCAATTGCTTCACACAGTGCATACCCTTAAGTTAAAGTCTCAAATAATGGTGACCGTTGGGTATGTAGTAGTAATAAAAAATAAAATAAAAAATAAATATGTTTTTTTTTTTTTTTTTTTTTTTATCGATACAGTTACATATCGGGATAGTATTTTTGACAATATATCATATAGTTTTAACAACGTCGTAATATTATTTTGCGCTAGATGGCTCTATCTGCACCAAAACTCCAGTATTCCTTCATAGCTTGTTCTCCATCTTCTTTATACATTGGGAGCCAATTTGTTTTCAATACAGTTTTCTGTTCCCAAAACTACAATCTGTTATGAACAGAGTGGACTAAGTTTTGTAGACTTTACCCTTTGCCAAAGTTTCAAAAAATTGTGTTGTTTAGAAGGAGTGCAAAGGCAAATGTAGTTATTGCACACGAGCACTTCACAGAGTAGGCGTTCCCCAATGGAAATATGCAAATGTAAACTAGAACGCGCCAATACGATCTCGCTAGCTCGTGCTTGGCTCTGCCCACCTCCTTCCTTGTTCTGCCCATTATGGCTCATTTGTTCCAATTTGAAACGACAGGCTGTGGTCTATATTGGTTTAGTTATACAAATATTTGCCTCTAATGTCATTCATTCCAATTAGACGGGTTTTGGATTTTTCCCAGAGGAAGATGGCTTTTTTGCCCTTATATGGAACTTTGAGGGTTTATGACATAGCTAGCACATAAAGAACAATGAGCCATATATTTCACCGGATGTATAAATGTGAAGCATCCGGTTGACGTTTCCACTCACTACCAAATATGGTGATGAGTGGAAGCCCAGTGGGAGTAGATGGAACAAGATGGATTTTGCCCGACATTCAATTAAACATTTAATCTCCATACAGTTTTCTGTTTCCAAAACTAGAATCTGTGGCAAACAGAGTGGACTGCTTTTTGTAGACTTTTCCCAAAGATTCAAAAAATGTGCTTTGTTTAGAAGGAGTGCAAGGGCGAATTGAGTTATTACACACGCGCACTTCACAAAGTAGGCCTTCCCTATCGGAAATATTCAAATAAAGGCTAAAACGTGCCAATAGGATCTCACTAGCTCCTGCTTGGCTCTGCCCACCTCCTTACTTGTTCTGTCCACTATGATTAAATTTGCTCCCATTGGAAAGATAGGCTCTGGGTTAGTTATACAAATATTTGTAGCTAGCCCCTCTAGTAATTTAATATGATCTCTATGGTCTTGCAGGTGTTTACATGGTTTTGCGCATCTACCAGGTGATAGAAATTTAAAACTTCAGTACCGGTGCTCTGAAAAGTCGACTAAATGATACTTTCCTGTGGATATTTTGTCTAAAATTTCGAGCAGCTGAAGGACCAACATCATCACGGACAATCGGCAGAGTAAATTCAAATAGAATTGTATTCAACATTCCGGCTTGTGGAGAACCTGAGAGTACCATTTCCAGAATCAAACACTGTCATGATGTTCCAGACGGTTTATTTAGAAATGCACCGCCTGGTCCCCAGGCAAACGATAACCTAGTAAGCAGGCTAACAAGCTAGCCAGCTACCGTTATCTGGCTAATAGCTAGATCATGGTCTGGATAACAGCTAATGGGGCGTCAGCCAACCTACCTGTCCTCGCTAACCGTGATCACTCCGTCCTCTTTCGGTATCAAAACTGCAGCATTGACCGCGTCCGAGTGTCCTTCGATCTTATTTAAAAGAACTGGTTTTGAGCTTTGAGGCCTCGAATGAATCTCTGCCGCCATGGCTATGTTTTCTTTTCCTCCCAACTCGACAATCAGCTGACAGCTATGGAGGGTTAGTGGGATTACCGTAATGTCTAGAATAGCAGCGCATTGCTTTGTTTCTTCTTCTACTATAATATTATGGCGGTCCGTAAACAAACGTGCATTGCGCAACCTACTGTACTGGAGTGTGTAGTCATCACAGTTTACAGACTAAATGAATATAAAGAAATAAACATGAAGAGAAACTAAACCCTCCTATCTAATCCTGTACTACTAAGAATAAAAGTATAGCCCTACTAACTTCTATCAAACCCTCCCCCATCCCCGTCCAATCTCAATAACCCAACACATCAATCTTTCCCTCTCTTCCACATAACGGTACTTACAACAATGCATCAACACATGCTTGCATCACTGTTTCATCAACATACACAACATACACATTTGCATGCTTGTCAACCAGATATAATGACGAGTTCAAAGTACAATGTCCTACACGCAACAAAGCAAACACCACCTCTTCCTTACTAACCTGACCCTTGAATCTTGGTCCACCAACCTTTCTTTGGAGGGCATATAAATGCCGGCCCTTGGGCTCTGAGTCCCATCTATCATAATGGCTCTAATCTTACATTTGGCCTCACTTCTACCCAGTGGAGCACGAATATCAATTATACAGTGCATTCGGAAAGTATTCAGACCCCTTGACTTTTCCACATTTTGTTACATTACAGCCTTATTCTAAAATTGATTAAATCGTTTTTTCCCCTTATCAATCTACACACAATACCCCATAATGACAAAGCCGAAACAGGTTTTCAGACATTTTTGCACATTTATTACAAATAGAAAATGGAAATATACGTTTTTCAACTGTCCATCCAAAGCCAATGCCTTGTCTACTAGGGCGCACCACTCTTTGCTGCTGTCACTGTTCTATGGTCACACTTAGGGAGATTCTCAATTGGTTTACTCAACTCATCCATCCTCTCCTCGACTCCTTTTGAAAAGGGTCAAACGTAACCGAGTAGAGGAAATGTGGAAACAAATAAGCTTGTATAAAATGAGACTATTTTTCTTCACTTCACTCCCATCAACAATTCCATTCTACAGCTGCACAATCGAGAGCATCCTGATTGGTTGCATCACCGCCTGGTATGGCAACTGCTCGGCCTCCGACCACAAGGCACTACAGAGGGTAGTGTGTACGGCCCAGTACATCACTGGGGCCAAGCTTCCTGCCATCCAGGACCTCTATACCAGGCAGTGTCAGAGGGAGACGCTAAAAATTGCCAAAGACTCCAGCCACCTTAGTCATAGACTGTTCTCTCTGCTACTGCTTGGCAAGCGGTACCGGAGCGCCAAGTCTAGGTCCAAAAGGCTTCTTAACAGCTTCTACCCCCAAGCAATAAGACTCCTGAACAGCTAATCATGGCTACCTGGACTATTACGCTGCTACTCTCTGTTTATTATCTATGCATAGTCACTTTACCTCTACCTACATGTACATATTACCTCAAATACCTCGACTAACCTGTGCCCCCGCACATTGACTCTGTACCGGTACCCCCTGTATATAGCCTCACTACTGTTATTTTATTGTTGCTCTTTAATTATTTGTTTACAATTTTTTTTACTTATCTATTTTTCTACTTCCGTTTATTTTAGTAAATACTTTCTTAACACTTATTTTTCTTAAAACTGCATTGTTGGTTAAGGACTTGTAAGGAAGCATTTCACTGTAAGGTCTACACCTGTTATATTCAGTGACAAATACAATTTTGATTTGATCATGCAAATGATGTTTACAGGGGTGGAATCCCAAATTAAATGTGTAACGAGGTAAAAAGACATTTAGCTAGTTGTGCTAGACATTTTATAGATACAATTATAAGTAGCATATCATTATTAAATATGTGCCTGGTTTTCTCCTATGAGTAAACCACAGCTGATTCAAGGGGACGTGGCGGATCTCTAAACTCTTCCGTGAAGGACTCAGGCAGGATACTCTTTAGCTTCCTCTTCTTCTCTGGTATTATGGCGTTCGCATATTTTGTTTGTGCATACCGCCATCTACTGTGCGGTAGTGTGTGGTCGATCACGTTACATTTTGTGATACAAAAACAAGGAAGGGGGAAAAGGAAAAAAATGCACCACCAACTAACCCTCCACCTATATACCACTATTACATACCACCAACTAACCCTCCACCTATATACCACTATTACATACCACCAACTGACCCTCCATCTATATACCACTATTACATACCACCAACTAACCCTCCACCTATATACCACTATTACATACCACCAACAACCCTCCACCTATAACCACTATTACATACCACCAACTAACCCTCCATCTACATACCACTATTACATACCACCAACTAGACCTATATACCACTATTACATACCACCAACTAACCCTCCACCTATATACCACTATTACATACCACCAACTAACCCTCCACCTATATACCACTATTACATACCACCAACTAACCCTCCGCCTATATACCACTATTACATACCACCAACTAGACCTAATACCACAGTTACATACCACCAACTAACCCTCCACTACATACCACTATATCCCACTCCACCAACTACACCACCAACTCCCCACCTATACCCCTATTACAACCACCACTAACCGCCACCTATATACCACTATACATACCACCAACTAACCTCCACCTAAACCACTATTACATACCACCAACTAACACCTTATACCACTACAACCACCAACTAACCCTCCACCTATACCACTAGACATACCACCAAAGAACCCACCTATATACCCAGATTACATACCACCAACTAACAGCTAATACCCACATACCACCAAGAACCTACATATACCACTAGACACTAACAAACACAGGACAAACACCAACTAACCCCACCAATACCACTATACAACCACCAACTAACATCCCCTAATACACTTTACATACCACCAACTAACCTCATATACCACATACATACCACCAACTACCTCCACCTATATACCACTTTACATACCACCAACTAACATCTATATACCACTATTACATACCACCAACAAATAATAATAATAATATGCCATTTAGCAGACACTTTTATCCAAAGCGACTTACAGTCATGTGTGCATACATTTTTACGTATGGGTGGTCCCAGGGATCGAACCCACTACCCTGGCGTTACAAGCGCCATGCTCTACCAATGGAGCTACAGAGGACCACTATTATACCACGAGGACAGACCACCAACGAACCCGCCACCAAAGACCACGGAGGACAGAGCACCAACGAACCCACACCGAGAGACCACGAGGACAGAGCACCAACGAACCCGCACACCAAAGACCACGAGGACAGACACCAAGAACCCGCCACGAGAGACCACGAGGACAGACCACCAACGAACCCGCACCAAAACCACTGATGACAGACCACCAATCGAACCGAGATGCCACAGACAACCACCAACTAACACCTAAGACCACGATTACCAACAACATCTAATATCACTATTACCACAACTACCCTATACCACTATTACATACCAACAACTAACCCTCCACCTATATACCACTATTACATACCACCAACTAACCCTCCACCTACAGTGAGGGAAAAAAAGTATTTGATCCCCTGCTGATTTTGTACGTTTGCCCACTGACAAAGAAATGATCAGTCTATAATTTTAATGGTAGGTTTATTTGAACAGTGAGAGACAGAATAACAACAAAAAAATCCAGAAAAACGGATGTCAAAAATGTTATAAATTTATTTGCATTTTAGTGAGGGAAATAAGTATTTGACCCCCTCTCAATCAGAAAGATATCTGGCTCCCATGTGTCTTTTATACAGGAGACGAGCTGATATTAGGAGCACACTCTTAAAGGGAGCGCTCCTAATCTCAGTTTGTTACCTGTATAAAAGACACCTGTCCACAGAAGCAATCAATCAGATTCCAAACTCTCCACCATGGCCAAGACCAAAGAGCTCTCCAAGGATGTCAGGGACAAGATTGTAGACCTACACAAGGCTGGAATGGGCTACAAGACCATCGCCAAGCAGCTTGGTGAGAAGGCGACAACAGTTGGTGCGATTATTCGCAAATGGAAGAAACACAAAAGAACTGTCAATCTCCCTCAGCCTGGGGCTCCATGCAAGATCTCACCTCGTGGAGTTGCAATGATCATGAGACGGTGAGGAATCAGCCCAGAACTACATGGGAGGATCTTGTCAATGATCTCAAGGCAGCTGGGACCATAGTCACAAAGAAAACAATTGGTAACACACTACGCCGTGAAGGACTGAAATCCTGCTGCGCCCGCAAGGTCCCCCTGCTCAAGAAAGCACATATACAGGCCCGTCTGAAGTTTGCCAATGAACATCTGAATGATTCAGAGGAGAACTGGGTGAAAGTTTTGTGGTCAGATGAGACCAAAATCGAGCTCTTTGGCATCAACTCAACTCGCCGTGTTTGGAGGAGGAGGAATGCTGCCTATGACCCCAAGAACACCATCCCCACCATCAAACATGGAGGTGGAAACATTATGCTTTGGGGGTGTTTTTCTGCTAAGGGGACAGGACAACTTCACCGCATCAAAGGGATGATGGACGGGGCCATGTACCGTCAAATCTTGGGTGAGAACCTCCTTCCCACAGCCAGGGCATTGAAAATGAGTCGTGGATGGGTATTCCAGCATGACAATGACCCAAAACACACGGCCAAAGCAACAAAGGTGTGGCTCAAGAAGAAGCACATTAAGGTCCTGGAGTGGCCTAGCCAGTCTCCAGACCTTAATCCCATAGAAAATCTGTGGAGGGAGCTGAAGGTTTGAGTTGCCAAACGTCAGCCTCAAAACCTTAATGACTTGGAGAAGATCTGCAAAGAGGAGTGGGACAAAATCCCTCCTGAGATGTGTGCAAACCTGGTGGCCAACTACAAGAAACGTCTGACCTCTGTGATTGCCAACAAGGGTTTTGCCACCAAGTACTAAGTCATGTTTTGCAGAGGGGTCAAATACTTATTTCCCTCATTAAAATGCAAATCAATTTATAACATTTTTGACATGCGTTTTTCTGGATTTTTTTGTTGTTATTCTGTCTCTCACTGTTCAAATAAACCTACCATTAAAATTATAGACTGATCATGTCTTTGTCAGTGGGCAAATGTACAAAATCAGCAGGGGATCAAATACTTATTTCCCTCACTGTATATGCCACTATTACATACCACCAACTAACCCTCCACCTATATACCACTATTACATACCACCAACTAACCCTCCACCTACAGTGGGGAAAAAAAGTATTTAGTCAGCCACCAATTGTGCAAGTTCTCCCACTTAAAAAGATGAGAGAGGCCTGTAATTTTCATCATAGGTATACGTCAACTATGACAGACAAATTGAGAAAAGAAAATCCAGAAAATCACATTGTAGGATTTTTAATTCATTTATTTGCAAATTATGGTGGAAAATAAGTATTTGGTCACCTACAAACAAGCAAGATTTCTGGCTCTCACAGATCTGTAACTTCTTCTTTAAGAGGCTCCTCTGTCCTCCACTCGTTACCTGTATTAATGGCACCTGTTTGAACTTGTTATCAGTATAAAAGACACCTGTCCACAACCTCAAACAGTCACACTCCAAACTCCACTATGGCCAAGAACAAAGAACTGTCAAAGGACACCAGAAGCAAAATTGTAGACCTGCACCAGGCTGGGAAGACTGAATCTGCAATAGGTAAGCAGCTTGGTTTGAAGAAATCAACTGTGGGAGCAATTATTGGGAAATGGAAGACATACAAGACCACTGATAATCTCCCTCGATCTGGGGCTCCACGCAAGATCTCACCCCGTGGGGTCAAAATGATCACAAGAACGGTGAGCAAAAATACCAGAACCACACGGGGGGACCTAGTGAATGACCTGCAGAGAGCTGGGACCAAAGTAACAAAGCCTACCATCAGTAACACACTACGCCGCCAGGGACTCAAATCCTGCAGTGGCAGACGTGTCCCCCTGCTTAAGCCAGTACATGTCCAGGCCCGTCTGAAGTTTGCATTTGGATGATCCAGAAGAGGATTGGGAGAATGTCATATGGTCAGATGAAACCAAAATAGAACTTTTTGGTAAAAACTCAACTCGTCGTGTTTGGAGGACAAAGAATGCTGAGTTGCATCCAAAGAACACCATACCTACTGTGAAGCATGTGGGTGGAAACATCATGCTTTGGGGCTGTTTTTCTGCAAAGGGACCAGGACGACTGATCCGTGTAAAGGAAAGAATGAATGGGGCCATGTATCGTGAGATTTTGCGTGAAAACCTCCTTCCATCAGCAAGGGCATTGAAGATGAAACGTGGCTGGGTCTTTCAGCATGACAATGATCCCAAACACACCGCCCGGGCAACGAAGGAGTGGCTTCGTAAGAAGCATTTCAAGGTCCTGGAGTGGCCTAGCCAGTCTCCAGATCTCAACCCCATAGAAAATCTTTGGAGGGAGTTGAAAGTCCGTGTTGCCCAGCGACAGCCCCAAAACATCACTGCTCTAGAGGAGATCTGCATGGAGGAATGGGCCAAAATACCAGCCACAGTGTGTGAAAACCTTGTGAAGACTTACAGAAAACGTTTGACCTGTGTCATTGCCAACAAAGGGTATATAACAAAGTATTGAGAAACTTTTGTTATTGACCAAATACTTATTTTCCACCATAATTTGCAAATAAATTCATAAAAAATCCTACAATGTGATTTTCTGGATTTTTTTTTCTCATTTTGTCTGTCATAGTTGACATGTACCTATGATGAAAATTACAGGCCTCTCTCATCTTTTTAAGTGGGAAAACTTGCACAATTGGTGGCTGACTAAATACTTTTTTTCCCCACTGTATATACCACTATTACATACCACCAACTAACCCTCCACCTTTATACCACTATTTAATAAAATAAAATATAAATCACCACCCCATTCTACTACCCTAACTGATCCTACACCAGGCCGATGGCTTGGGAGGACAGGACTCTTTCGTTCAACACACCTTGTAACTCTTCTGCAGTAAAACCTCGTACACACAAGTACTTCTCTGCAACTGCCACCACAACATCTATTTTCTGTGATTTACGTTCCATTTCTGTGGTACAGTTGATAACCATGGCAATGAATGCTAAGATGCCAACCTTACCGAAGCACAAATTTGTATCACTCTGTATTGGCCTAGGCCTACTACTCACCCTTGACTCATCATCCTCTTCTCTCTTCACTGCCTCAGCTTGCAACACCTTGTTATACTCTGACCCTGGCAACCCCAACCTATCTCTCTCGCACCGGGCACTTCTGATCCCCAGCAACATGGGCACCCCCACAATTAACACTGTTTTTTCCACTGATACTACACATTCCTTTGTCCCATGCCCTCATACACACTTCTCACATCTTGGAATCAACCTCCTACACACTGCTGCAACATGACCATAAGCTTGGCATCTGAAACACCATAGTGGGTTTGGCACAAAAGCTCTCACGGGATAACTGACTTTATCAGGTAAAGGCTGCTTCAAAACTCAAAAGGAAAGACAGTGTCATCTCAGTTTCACCACCGGGTCTGCCTTCGCACCAAATGGTGGGCGTTACAGACACAGGGATTTTTTTTTTTCAGTTGCTCCACCTCAACACTTAACGCCACCCCAGTAATCACTCCTTTCAAAGGCACTCTGCTCTGGGGAGCAAAGCAAGTCACAGGTCTTATCCCTAGGCAGTGGTGTAAAGTACTTAAGTAAAAATACTTGAAAGTACTACTTAAGTAGTTTTGGGGGGGATCTGTACTTTACTTTACTATTTATATTTTTGACAACTTTTACTTTTACTTCACTACATTCCTAAAGAAAATAATGTACTTTTTACTACATACATTTCCCCTGACACCCAAAAGTACTTGTTACATTTTGAATGCTTAGCAGGATAGGAAAATGGTCTAATTCACACACTTATCAAGAGAACATCCCTGGTCATCTCTACTGCCTCTGATCTGGAGGACTCACTAAACACAAATGCTTCGTTTGTAAACAATGTCTAGCGTGTTGTAGTGTGCCCCTGGCTATCCATAAATTTAAAAAACAAGACAATTGTGCCGTCTGGTTTGCTTAATATAAGCAATTTGTAATGATGTATACTTGTACTTGTACTTTTGCAATTCAATTAACTTTTGATACTTAAGTATATTTAAAATCAAATACTTTTAGACTTTTACTCAAGTAGTATTTTACTGGGTGACTTTCCCCATTTACTTGAGTCGTTTTCTATTAAGGTATCTTTACTTTTACTCATGCCCCTCCTCCTTGCTCGGGCAGGTTTCGGTGTTCGTCATCACCGGCTTACTAGCCACTACCGCTCCATTTATCATTACATTTTAGTCATTTTAGCAGACGCTCTTATCCAGAGCGACTTACAGTTAGTGAGTGCATACATTTTTCATCACTCCATTTGTCTTGTCTTGTCTTGTCAATCACACACACCTGGTACTCATTCCCTCATTAGTCTGTGTATAAGTGTTCCCTCTGCTCCCTTGTGAGTAACTCGGTTGAGCTACGCTTTCCTTGTATGTAGCCAAGGTGGATTTTTCCCTTGTGCTAGTTTCGTTTTGACGCTTGCTGCGCTTTATTCATGTACACTGAATAAACTCTGGTTTTCTGTGTTTTACCTCCTGCGCCTGACTCCGTCAATCACATCTCAAGTATAACAATTGGGTAGGTTTTTCACCACTGTCCCTAGGTGCGTGACGCGAAGTGCCCGCTCCCTCTGGACTGAAGAAGCATATAAAATCATCACAAGTCCACTTCGAGCTACCTTCACCGATTTAACAGTACTCAACTTATTTCTACCCAGTCTGAGACTACATATGGCTCAGCCAAAAGGCAGGTATCCACTTCCACTGTGCCCGAATCATCCTTTGCATGACCATCTGGGTGAGGCTCGGACTCAGAGGTCTTCACCACACCTGCCACCACAGGTAATTCATTCTCACTCTTGTCGGGTTCTACTTCTGAGCCATCAGAATACATTTTGTACTTCAACACACACCTTCCTACTGCACTCGGCTCTTCTCCTTCTTCCTCGCTGTCCATAACCATATATATCCGTTCACCACGCTCATGCCGTGCCTTCATCCGCTGTACTGTTTGTAGAACACATACGGATGGCCTTTCTTCAATACGCACCTTCTATTCCTTAGCCCAATTTACAAGGCTGCCTATCTCTAGCCTCTCCATGATGGCAAAACTTTAGCTCACATTACTCTTGTGCTTCGTCGGCGAGGGAGGCAAGGACACTCCTCCATTCGCCTACTAACTAATTGACACGCTCCTCTACCACTTGAGTGGTTTCCAGGTCACGGAGGAGTCGAGGAGCAGACTGTCTTTTTCCAAATGTGAATCTCCCCCAGTCAAATGCACATCAAAGGTACTTTTCAATAATAGAAGGTATCCTTTACATATAGCTAGAACTTTATAAATATATGCATTTACTTTAAAGAACGTTTTGTATATTTGATACAAAAAGTGTTTATTTAAGCACACCCCTCAATATTTTAAGTTTGTCAAAATACCAACTCATCCACCTCAACAACAGATGGTAATTGTTACATTACATATGAAAAAATAAAAAATTCATTCAAAGTATAGGAGTCCTCAAACAGAGTTTAATGCAAATGATTGACATATCAAAACATGGGTTTGAGTGGCTAAATTAATTCAGGGACTTGAAGTGTAACTTTCCAATCTTAAAATGAACATGTAAAACCACCAATAACATTAATTCAAACTGAAATGTACACTATATAATGTACTCTATATAATATACACGTTTGACATTCAGGGTCATATAAAAAAGCTAGCAAATACTCTAGAAAGTATACAGAGGATAATTAAAACACTATGGAAATGTCTCATTGGCAGAACACTATATTATGGACCATAATAAAAGTCAAATCAAATGCAAACATTTAAAACAAATAACATCATAATATGTCCACATTGTACACAAATACAAGTCTGAGTATGAGTGTGAATTTTGTTTGTGTGCAAGTGTTGTATAGGTGTGTTTGCATGTGAGCAAGGAAGTGTTTGCTGTGTATATTCATGTATTATTTTGAAGCTCTGAAGGCACATTCCAGTGAAAGGGATATCTGCAGGCTGGAAAGGCTCAAGGCTGATTGACCTGGCCCATGAAGAGGATCGTACCTGAGGACCAAGGAAACAACAATAATAATAAACAAGTAATTCTACAGCAAATTGAAGGAAATGAACATGGTCAACATGTCAATAAGTAGAAAAACAAAGACAGAATATGACCTGACCTGCTTCCCGATTGTACAGTACCAGTCAAAAGTTGACAAACCTACTCATTCAAGGGTTTCTTTATTTTTACAATGTAGAATAATAGTGAAGACATCAAAACTATGAAATAACACATATGAAATCATGTAGGAACCAAAAGTGTTAAAGAAATCCAAATATATTTTGTTTGAGATTCTTCAAATAACCACCCTTTGCCTTGATGACAGCTTTGCACACGCTTGGCATTCTCTCAACCAGCTTCACCTGGAATGCTTTTCCAACAGTCTTGAAGGCGTTCCCACATATGCTAAGCACTAGTTGGCTGCTTTTCCTTCACTCTGCTGTCCAACTCATCCCAAACCATCTTAATTGGGTTGAGGTTGGGGGGTTGTGGAGGCCAGGTCATCTGATGCAGCACTCCACCACTCCCCTTCTTGGTAAAATAGCCCTTACACAGCCTGGAGGTGTGTTGGGTCATTGTCCTGTTGAAAAACAAATGATAGTCCAACTAGGCCCAAACCAGATGGGATGGCGTATCGCTGCAGAATGCTGTGGTAGCCATGCTGGTTAAGTGTGCCTTGAATTCTAAATAAATCAGACAGGGTCACCAGAAAAGTACCATAACACCTCCTCCTCCATGCTTTACGGTGGGAACTACACACGCGGACATCATCCGTTCACCCACACCGCGTCTCACAAAGACACGGCGGTTGGAACCAAAAATCTCAAATTTGGAGATTGCTCGTGTTTCTTGGCCCAAGCAGGTCTCTTCTTATTGGTGTCCTTTAGTAGTGGTTTCTTTGCAGCAATTCGACCCTGAAGGCCTGATTCACACAGTCCCCTCTGAACAGTTGATGTTGATGTGTCTGTGACTTGAACTCTGAAGCGTTTATTTGGGCTGCAATTTCTTAGGCTGGTAACTAATGAACTTATCCTCTGCAGCAGAGGTAACTCTGGGTCTTCCATTCCTGTGGTGGTCCTCATGAGAGCCAGTTTCATCATAGCCCTTGATGGTTTTTGCAACTGCACTTGAAGAAACTTAAAAAGTTCTTAATTTTCCGTATTGACTGACCTTCATGTCTTAAAGTAATGATTAACTGTCGTTTCTCTTTTTGCTTTTTGAGCTGTTCTTGCCATAATATGGACTTGGTCTTTTACCGAATAGGGCTATCTTCTGTATACCCCCCCCCTACCTTGTCACAACACAACTGATTGGCTCAAACGCATTAAGAAGGAAATAAATTCCACAAATTAACTTTTAAGAAGACACACCTGTTAATTTAAATGCATTCCAGGTGACTACCTCATTAATCTGGTTGAGAGAATGCCAAGAGTGTGCAAAGCTGTTATCAAGGGTGGCTATTTGAAGAATCTCAAAATATATTTTTGACTTGTTTAACACTTTTTTAGTTACTACATGATTCCATATGTGTTATTTCATAGTTTTGATGTCTTCACTATAATTCTACATTGTACAAAATAAAGAAAAACCCTTGAATGAGTAGGTGTGTCCAAACTTTTGACTGGTAGTGTATGTCGTGTCAATTACACAACAGCTAGTTCAACAACTAGTGATCTTTGCCAAATAGGATGTCAGTCTTTTGAAACCATTAGAGTACATTCTAAAAGTAATAGAAAAATGAGAGATTGACAGAGACAGGCGGCATGCTGTACCTGTTGGGTTGTGCCGAATGAGGAAGAGGAAGGGTCGGTCTACGATGACCCAAGGTGGAGAAGACCTGGCCATTAAGATGGCAGCTGGAGAAAAATGAGAAATACAAACAAAAACACTTAAGTCTTCAACCTGCCTTATCTCCTCTAATATTCAGAGAGAATATCCACACAGATGCAAAACTCAATTCACACACACTAAACTAAATACAAACAGAAGCAAAAATGACTAAACCAACAAACACTCACTCGTGGCAGCAGCTGCTTTGGTTCCATCCTCATTGACCTCGATCAAGGCCTTCTGTAGAGCTTTAGATACATACACAGGCTCTGTACCTGAGGGAAAAGTTGGATGACAAAATATTAAAGTGCTGTAAAGTTCCATTGATAAAAACAATGTCCCACTGGGTGTTGCTACAGGACAACCCAATTATTATGCACATATTAATTCTGGTCCATTATATAAGGATATAAGGCCACTTCACACCGGACAGCTAGACATGAATCATGGCTATTTGGAGCTCTCATTACAGTAAACGATGCTTTCATATATTAGCACCAGTCATTGTTGTGTCAATGGTTGATACACTGTCAGAAAGAAGACATTACAGTTCTATGTGATGTTTGATTTATGATCCCAGTGCCACTCACTGAGGTGTCTGAAGTCGGCTTTGCCCTTATCAAAGATGTCTGTTATCCCCAGGGCTGAGAGGGAGGCTTGCAGGTCCACTTCGGCTTCAGCTGTAAACCTACACACAACACAGGCCAATGACGTAATGAGCATTTCCTTCACCAATTAGTGAAGACTTTTCATACACATAACAAATAGCAAGATTGCACAATGTTGTACCTAGGAGTTAGTCATTTAAGTGTGACATATGATGAGTGTTAGCAGGTGATAGGAAGTGCTTCCTGGCCATAAGAGCCAGGAGTGGGTGTGTCTTGTCTTTGACCTGTCCCTGCAACAGTACCTGGAAGTTACCTGGTCATTGGGGTGCAACATTACCAACACGCTTCTCTGTCATGTAGTGGGCAATAACGTCAGCTCTATACAATATATTTTTAACTGCAATGTGTTAAGAACATTGCACCCTCCTGAACAGGATCTTGGGTAAGGGTTTTTGAACCAGTGAGTGGGTTGTTGTGTTCGGGTCTTACTTGGGCAGCAGCAAGCGGACCTTCCTCTGGTGCAGCAGCTTGGACCAGCTCTGTACAGTGGCTGTGCTGATGTGAGGGATGACATCACCTAGGGGCGTGTCCTCCTCTGATGGCAGGGCGATCAGCATGCTTATGCTGTTGCCGTGATACGGTAGTTCAATGACCTTATAATTCAGCCCTTGGGGTGTGCTGGCCAGACCTAGGAGATAAGGGGTCAGGGGTGAGGGATATTCATATCGTAGGCTAAGAAGTGTTACTGTATTCATGGTCCATCTGAAATTCTGACATTATTCAACACCTTTATGAGGATAGTCATCTTGTGAATAAATACTATATCTCTCCTCTATAGTGACATTAATATGTTAGTTTTCTAGCCTAGTTTGACTTTAGTTGCATAATGACAAGGATGGTGTTTGTTGGTTCCCAGAACAATCTGTGGTGGGATGTGGCAAGACAAAAATGCCAAAACCACAGTGATACCAATCCAACAACACAAGCATTTATAGACAGGACCATATAGTCATACTGTGAAACAGCCATACAACAAGTAATCAAAGCTGAACTCCACATGTTGTACTAAAGCAACAATATGTTTCCCATTATACTCAAATATCAAAAGAGATTTAATCTGTCATTTATGTCTGAGAAGTATGCTTGCCAAATGTGTTGCTTTGTAGTATTTTCTCTGTAAATGGAGGATGAAAATATGATTCCCAAGAGCATTGTTTTATTGCAGTAATTTTATTCAAGAGTCTTTCACAATTTACTCTCAGAAATGAACTAGGCTGTCAGGGAAATAATCCCAGACAGTCGCTATTCTGTGCTGAAGCTGTAAGGCATTGATAAATACCCAACTCGACTACTCTTAAGCCTACATGGCAAACTCTATCCACGTCACTTAATAGGCTAAACTACAGTCAAGATGGAATTATGGGGTCTAACTACAGCAGACAGTATATCATTTCACATGCAGGTCAAAATATTATCCCAGTGAGAAGGTCAGAAGGGTTCAAAGTGGTGTCTTAGGTCTCAGAGCAGAACTCACCAATGTTGAAGACCGACAGCTGGGACATCATGGGGACTTTGTATGCATTGCCGTCTCCCGCGTTGAAGGTTCTCATCTTGGTGTTTTCTGTCTGGAAGCGGGACTTCCACAGGCCTTTAAAGTAGATGGCGTTAACGGCTACCAGGCGGGTCAGAGCTCCATCCAACATGTCTGCCTTGACCAGAGTGGGGATGTGGCCTGTAAATTAGAACACAGCCGTCAGAAAAATGTATCATTCCAACACCAATGACACACTGACCAATATAAACCTTCATTAATTGAATAGGACAAGTTAGATACCCCCATTGAATGTAAAATCATCACAAGACCTAGTGAAATAAAGTCTGGCGCTATTAGAATGTAACCTAATTACATACCATTAGAGATCTATGGTCATGTTTTAATTGACTGTCCTACAGTAAGTTTGAATCCAGTTGCAGTCTCACCTTTGGTCTGGTTGTTGACCCAGTCGTTGATGGCGGCTGCAGCAGCCTGGGTGTCAGTGAAGTCTAAGGTCCGGCTCTCACACTGGAAGTTGGCCCTGTTGGAGGACATGAAAGCCTCCTCCATAGGGAAGCCCTGCTGGGAGAACATAGCATTGGCGATAGTCACAATGTCCTGGTTGGACTTGGCCGTCAGCGTCTTGTGGAGCTTCCTCAACATCTTATAAGGGCCTGGAAAGAAGAGTTGGGGAATTTCAATGAGATATTTTGGGATTTTCTGAAAACAGTGTTGTTCCTCGGGGTAGGAGTATGACTGGAAGTCATTCAAGTCATCATCATGTTGTTCCTCTGGGTAGCGCAATGACTGGAAGTCTACAGGTACAGTAGCATACGCTAGCATACCTGTAGAATTCCAGTCATTACGCTAACACTAGTTACTGTAGCATTGGCTTGCAAAACTACCTACAACTTCCTTCATATTGCACGCAGAGACACAAAAATGGTATCCACGAGTTCATCGGACTCTGGGTAAGCCAGAATCTCGCAGTATCCCTTTAATGAGAGACACTGGATGAGGCTATGAAAGGACTATTATTAAGGGAGTCTTACCATTCTTCTTGTAGCGGAGTGCTGTGAGGAGCTGCCTGCGGGTCTCTCCATGGGCGCCTGGCAGCAGCATGCCCAGGATAGAGGCCACGCCGTGAGGGGAGAGCACCACGTTCTCCTGGGGTCTGGAGCGGGCCACCTGCTGGAACACCTGGAGCCCCAGGTCGGAGCCCCGTTCGCCATAGGAGCGGGTGGAGGGGGCCTGGGAGAGCACCCCCCGGTGGACACCCAGGGTCACCAGCAGGCACAGTAACGAGGGGAGGCCCATCTCAGGTCTCACTCACTGACTGACACACCTGGAAGAGGGTTGAGGGGGAGAGAGAGTCATGGAAGTCATTTGCATGTAGGATTATGACTCACTGTGGTTCACCATAATCCAAGCATGTCCTTGTTCCGAATGGTTTTGACAGGAGCTGAGCCCCTATGGCACTGGCTTCAGTATCGCCATTGTCAAATGAAGTCCCCTGTAGCTCAGTTGGTAGAGCATGGCGCTTGCAACGCCAGGGTTGTGGGTTCGTCTCCAACGGGGGGCCAGTATGAAAAATGTATGCACTCACTAACTGTAAGTCGCTCTGGATAAGAGCGTCTGCTAAATGACTCAAATGTAAAATGTAAGGTTAGTCATGCTGTCTAAACATGACTAATGGATACTGTCAGCCCCCAAAACCAGCACCAAGTAGTGCACTACTTATCCTGTTATTGGCACCTCATTGCCAGTATTTCTATAGTTCATATAAAGTCATATAACATTTTTAGGAGACTACATCATATCTATCCTCCTTCCTGTGGAAATACTGGCTTTATGAATTCAATTATGCTTGCAATAAACCCAGACAGCCATTGTCTCAGTGCAGATTGAGAAACAGATGGGGTGGGTTAATTATATTATAAAAATATTAAATAATATAAGTAAGGCGTTTGTCTCTACACAATGGCCTACAGTATATCAACTAAGTTACCAAGCTAATCATTGGAATTCTCGGACATTCCTTGGGATGTTTAATCCTCATCACAGTTACTTTATTCTGAAACTGTTAGTAAAAGAAAAAGCCCTTGGAACAGTAGGCTACTGACTGAGATATTGAACAAGATAACCCAACACCAAGCCCAATCTTGACCAGGAACTATCAACAACCCTCAGTCATAGTGCTCAGTCATAGACTCCTGCAGCCAAGGTATTTAAAGGTGGTGACAACCTGCCCCTGCCTCTCCTGAGTCTCCTCCACAAGTTAATTAAACGAACTCCAGTTCAGACATGTACGGACAGACTGTAAACAGAGCTCCTTCAGAGCTGTGTGTGTTTGGCTAGGAAATCGTAGGCTAAAGCCTACCCTACTGTTCATTATTCATTAAAATTGGTTACAAAAGTGAAGGACGCCAGTCTGGAAATTTGAATAAAGAAATGAGTTGACAAGCAGCCTACTAAATCACCTTGACATCTACTTTGAGAAACACTATCCATGGCTGAAACAAAAAAACAACAGCCGTATAATTCTGCATTTCAGTTATGGAAATCGAGTAGGCTTTGCGAACAGTACATGACGTTTAACCGTGAAATCGAGACAAATGAGAATATGACCCAAGTGTTTACCAATGATGATCATTGTTTACGATGTAGCTAATTAGAATAGCTACACTTTGAAGAGTCGCACTTGAAGTTTAATATTCGTCCATCCTGGCTGGCAAAATGCAGCCTCACATCATTCATCTCTCTCGAACTCTACAAAGAACATAAGACATAGGCTAGCCTGAAACATAGTTACATTGCCATATCCTACATACATTTTTAAAGTGTATATCGCGTCTCCATGTGGAGATAATAGATCCTTACTTGAATAGTTTGGATGTAAACGGTCCAAAAACGTTATTTGAGCATACAACGGTTCCGGTTAGTAACTCAATACAAATACGACACCAGCCTCTCTCGAGTTACCAGAAGAGTGAATAGCAAGGCACAAGGTCTCCGTCGACGTTTGTCCCAAAGGTAAAGATTCTGTCTGACACTTAGTTTATAATATGGAGGGTTTTGGTGAGTTGAACTCCGCCCTCCCGAGAGTGAAACTCGAATCGGAGAACGGTTGATGAGAGAAGAAAAAAACAACGCATAAAGTGACAACTTGCAAATGTTTAATACTACTATTAAATTAGTAGGCTGCTGTCAACAGGAAGTAACAATGAACATGTCGCGCAACATTGAATAGTCCTTGTTATTTCACGGTTAAAAATAATTGTCTTAACTGCTAGCCTACCATTTGGGATTCAAAATGGTTCATTTATTTAATTTAGCTTTGTGTATGTGATAGTGGTGGGTGTCCTATTTTAAACATTTGCTTAATTGCTTTTACTCATTTTTATTAATGCTAACACAAGGGAGTGGTGTGTTCTCACCCAGCAATGACATGTCAGACCCAGAAGAGAGTGTTTGTAACATAAAGTTATAAGTAGCCTACTCAAACTTCACCTCTCCCCCACTCACTATGGAGACATTGTAAGAAAGCTTGTATTGTAAGTCAATTGCCCCCTGTGGCCCCTGTATGGGTCCCCCAGATAACTGTTGGCAGGACAAAAGGACCACCTGGTGCCTCTGTTCACCTGTGTGCCGCCCAAACACACACACACACACACACATACAGGAGGGGCCCTGCCTCAGTTACACCCCCTCTGCCATAATAAAAATACATGATTATTTAAGAGTTAGTGGATGTATGGGGGATTGAGTTACAGGAGATTAAATAAGAGGGAATGTACATGTAATCAAGAGGCAGTGTGCTCAATAAGGGGGGATTTGGTTATGTAAGCAGGTGAGGGAGGCATCTTTTTTTTAAATGTCCTGCTCAAAAGGCTGCTGAAACTAGAAGCAGAGCAGATCCTGCAGACTGCAGAGTCATGTACGCTAATAACAGATGCTCAACTGTAGGTTATATCTACAGGAGATAATAATAATAATAAATAATATGCCATTTAGCAGACGCTTTTATCCAAAGCGACTTACAGTCATGCGTGCATACATTTTTGTGTATGGGTGGTCCCGGGGATCGAACCCACTACCTTGGCGTTACAAGCGCCGTGCTCTACCAGCTGAGCTACAGAGGACCACATATTGGAGCCCTCTCTGTCCTTCCCTTTAATAGACCCTTACTCTATATCTACAGTAGATATTGGAGCCCGCTCTGTCCTTCCCTTAATAGACCCTTACTCTATATCTACAGTAGATATTGGAGCCCTCTCTGTCCTTCCCTTTAATAGACCCTTACTCTATATCTACAGTAGATATTGGAGCCCTCTCTGTCCTTCCCTTTAATAGACCCTTACTCTATATCTACAGTAGATATTGGAGCCCTCTCTGTCCTTCCCTTTAATAGACCCTTACTCTATATCTACAGTAGATATTGGAGCCCTCTCGGTCCTTCCCTTTAATAGACCCTTACTCTATATCTACAGTAGATATTGGAGCCCTCTCGGTCCTTCCCTTTAATAGACCCTTACTCTATATCTACAGTAGATATTGGAGCCCTCTCTGTCCTTCCCTTTAATAGACCCTTACTCTATATCTACAGAAGATATTGGAGCCCTCTCTGTCCTTCCTTTTAATAGACCCCGCAGACATAGCCTTTGCTCCTCTGCCCAGTTGGAGACTGTGCGTGCATGAACGAGCATTAAAACCCCGCCTGGAAAACGCCCTCCATTCACCTTTTATGGTGCTAATAACGCCCTTTATTTGCTGTATCATTTTAAAACTATTGGAATTAGGCCACAGCAGTTTCTAAAAGAAAGAGCAATGGCAATTTTAATCACATTTCTGTAGAGGTGTGGGCAGAATGTTTTGATATTTTGAAGTGACTTTTTCCAAACTAAACATGCATGCTGCCTATATAGCGAGTGCCTGTTCGTGCATTCTGCAAGATTGATTGTATATTCGAAACAATTTAAAAGTAGGATAAACGCTACAGCCCACACTTCTATGCAAAAGAGAAATTGTTGTTCAATATTTAGTCTATCAATAGATTATTGGGTTTCTATGTCCTGCCTTGGTATAGGCTCTGAGATGAAATAGGCAATGATGTCCTGCTGTTATCGCATAGCAATGCCGTAGATTACCCATACTGTCAAATATTTAGCATAAACTACCGGTCTATTTACTGTGTTGGCAGGATGTTTTAATCTTTAGCAGTAATTTATGCTGTATCTTCAAAAGGACTGTTTCAGTTTCTATAGGAGAAAACGATGGTAAATTGTTGTGGCCTGTCAGCAGAATGTTTGAACTCAACAATGGTTTATATCAACATTTCCCTGTGAATTCTGAAACATTGTAAAGAAATACAATTTCACCCACTGGGCACAGACGTCAATCAACGTCTATTCCACATTGGTTCAATGTAATGTCATTGAAATGATGTGGATTTTTTATTTATTTAACCAGTGTGTGCCCACTGGGAATAGGGTAGCCTAGTTATAGTAGCATACATAGGCCTACTTCAATGTAAAATATCAACTGTTCACCTGTTAAACTTGACTGTATATTATAAACTGCGCTGCCTATGGGATTGCAAAACTTGAAATACATATAGCATTTCTATTTACTAGGTTTAAATAAATGATGTGCATGGTAATTTGTTGTATGGCCACTTCAGGAATATGAACCCATCACGGCCAGCAATGGTCAAGAAAATAAAATAAATAGGAAAAATAAAAACATTGATTTGCACTTTTTGCACCAAAGTACGTTCATCTCTAGGAGACACGTTCTGTCTCCTAGAGATCAATCCCAGAACAACAGCAAAGGACCTTGTGAAGATGCTGGAGGAAACGGGTACAAAAGTATCTATATCCACAGTAAAACAAGTCCTATATCGACATAACCTGAAATGCCGCTCAGCAAGGAAGAAGCCACTGCTCCAAAACCGCCATAAAAAAGCCAGACTACGGTTTGCAATTGCACAAGGGGACAAAGATCGTACTTTTTGGAGAAATGTCCTCTGGTCTGATGAAACAAAAATAGAACCATTTGGCCATAATGACCATTGTTAGGTTTGGAGGAAAAATGGGGTTGCTTGCAAGCCGAAGAACACCATCCCAACCATGAAGCACGGGGGTGGCAGCATCATGCTGTGGGGGTGCTTTGCTGCAGGAGGGACTGGTGCACTTCACAAAATAGATGGCATCGTGAGGAAGGAAAATTATGTGGATATATTGAAGCAACATCTCAAGACATCAGTCAGGAAGTTAAAGCTTGGTTGCAAATGGGTCTTCCAAATGGACAATGACCCCAAGCATACTTCCAAAGTTGTGGCAAAATGGCTTAAGGACAACAAAGTCAAGGTATTGGAGTGGCCATCACAAAGCCCTGACCTCAATCCTATAGAATATTTGTGGGCAGAACTGAAAAAGCGTGTGTGAACAAGGAGGCCTACAAACCTGACTCAGTTACACCAGCTCTGTCAGGAGGAATGGGCCAAAATTCACCCAACTTATTGTGGGAAGCTTGTGGAAGGCTACCCGAAACGTTTGACCCAAGTTAAACAATTTAATGGCAATGCTACCAAATACTAATTGAGTGTATGTAAATTTCTGACCCACTGGGAATGTGATTAAATAAATAAAAGCTGAAATAAATCACTCTACTATTATTCTGACATTTCACATTCTTAAAATAAAGTGGTGATCCTAACTGACCTAAGACAGGGAATTTTTACTAGGATTAAATGTCAGGAATTGTGAAAAACTGAGTTTAAATGTATTTGGCTAAGGTGTATGTAAACTTCCGACTTCAACTGTATATGGTCTGGATGATATACTGTAACACAGCTCCTCTGCTGTAGAGTGACTGTATTTCCAGAATGTTTGTGTTTGACACGTCATCTTCTGGTCTTTTTGTAGGACATAATCATAGTTCTCCTACTGTCATAGTGCCAAGAGAGAGAGCATCATTTATGCATTTTCCTGCCAATATTTCACAAGAGAAGACAGTCAGACATTGTGAAGTGCACTGACTGTATGGAAAAAAACAATTCAGATATATTGGGAAATACACTTTTTATTTTTAATGAATGTACTGTAAGATCCAAGTAAAATCATCTCACTGTCTATCACTTCTCCTTCAGCCTAGCCTGATTGGCCACTGTGGCTGTCTATCACTTCTCCTTCAGCCTAGCCTGATTGGCCACCGTGGCTGTCTATCACTTCTCCTTCAGCCACGTTTGTAGGAGCTGGAAGACGTGTTCCCGAGCCAGGGTCAACTGGGGGTGGTCCTCAGCTCTTGCAGGGTACATGTTGGCACAGTGGGCTGTTCCTGGATCAGAGCGAGTGAGTGAGATAGAGATTATTGTTATACAGCATTGTTGTTATACAGTGATATGACACAGCTGCTCTCTTGACCTCTTCCTGTACATACAGTATGGAAGAATAACTATCTGCAAAGCGTTTGTCAGATGCTGAAAGGACCTGAATGTAGTCACAAGACACCATAGACATCAGTTGAAGGATAGAAGGACCAACGTTGAACCCTCACCCTTTATGAAGATGGCAGGGAGGTCATCTGAGATGCTAGAGGTGATGCCCAGGGCATGCCAGGGGTCGATGGAACTGTTGGGGAAGACTATTCTGGTGGCACGGATGTTGTAGCTGCTGTAATTCTTTTTGGTCTGGTCTATTCCAGAGTAGAGTGTCTTAGCGCTGATGTTGAAATTGTCCTGACACTGTTCCACATGGTACCTGCCAGAGAGGGAAGGGATGGAAAGAGAGGAGGGAGAGGGGGATGAGAGAGGAGAGAGGCCCATTGATCCAGTCATACCACAGATAGACATTCCTTCACTAATACACACACACACACACACACACACACACACACACACACCTGGAGGAGAATACTTGTCAGCATTAAATAAGTACTCAATGGAGGCCAAAGCCACCAAAGGGCTGGTTAGGAGAGTCAGTGGTCTGGAAGTAGCCAAACTCAGTGCAGGTCTGGTACGTCCACTGTCTCCCTGGATACAAAGATAGATACCGTACAGACACACAGTAGGGACAATCATCATCTGTATGTACGTCTCTGGTGACTTCATCTCGTCTGATTCACTAGAGCAAATATGTGTCTCACTAGAACAAATATTAACTTTCAACTTCATTGCTTAAATTACATATTAATACCACAAGACTTGAATGACACAGGTTAGGTCAACAATCAGTCAAAAATAGTTTGAGTAAAAAACGATTTACTGTTCCTTTTTGTGCCTTTGAGCAAAGACAAAGAAAGGAAAGAGAGAGAGAGAGAGAGAGAGAGAGAGAGAGAGGAGTGGGTGGTTTATAGACACTCCGGGCGGCTCTTTAAAAGCCCACTTCCTATGATCCCCACTAAACCAATACGCCCTCCCAGTCAAGGAAACTAGCCCTGGGAACCACGGCCACAGCCAAAGGTCAGAGCACAACATGGAAACTGGTTGAACATGCAAAGTCATTATTACTAACCGAACACAACCTACGACAGGGCTCTAACCAAAGTTCTGGATCAGAGGATATAGAGAGACTCACTTTCCACTGTAAACTAAAAGGAAGATGTGTAAAACACCTGTCTTAGCACTGCCTTTCCAAATGCATGCACGCACATGCACACAAACACACGCGCACACACAACTCTACCATCGAGCAGTATAACAAGGAGGGATCTTTCTTTACTGCTGAATAACACTATTACAAGTCTATAAAACACACTTTGCACGATGCAGAGGCAAAAGGAGCCGAAGATGCTCTAGCTACAGGCCATCACTTATACTCTTCATTTTCATCTCTTTCTTGACAAAAGATATAGCAAGAGGTAATTCATTCAAATAGTGATCACCATTCAAATTTAGCAAAGCAAATAATTGTGAAAATAACAATGCAAATAAAAGCCTTATGGACAAGGGTCCCCTGGACCAGTATTGAGTGACGGCCTAGGTGTTATTGAGTGACGGCCTGTGTGTTCATCAGGGTGTTAACTGCTGATAAAGCAGGTTTGGATTCTTCTGTCCCTTGGCATTGTACAGAATTGGTTTTATTGTGGATATTGACATACATCCCCAGAGACAGGCTATACCCCTTCCCCCTCAACTCTCCACACCCCTTCTCCCCCAAACACCACTCCAGCCCCTCTCCCTCCTCACCTCCCCCGCCGTGGGATCCTTTGCCCCTCTCCCCCTTTCACCCTCCCCGCTGTGGGGTTCGCTATAATATGTGTTCCTGAGGTCCTGAAGGTTGACGTTGTACGTGAGGCCTTTAAAACAGGGCTTAAGAAGGTGGTCCTGGTTCTGAGGCGAACAAAATAAGTGAAGTGGTGGTAGGGGTCTCCCAGAGAGGCCTTGGACATCACCCCACACACAGTCTTAATGGTGCAGTTGGTGTCCAACACATGCTGCAATGACACAAACATAATGGTTACTTACTACAACTGTGGGTGGAAGTCTGTAGAATCTCATTGACTACCGCTGTGTCTCTCCTTCACTGGCATCATACAGAGCAATACTTAGTATGCTAAACAGCTAAGGTACACATTAGATATTTAGTTAGTTACATATTTACTACAACTGGGTTCTACACAGACCTGTATTAATTAACCCCACCTGTGACCATCACAAGAAGTCCATATTTGTATCTCTGCTATTGTGACAAGGTGTGAATGAAGGAGTCAGGCGCAGGAGGTAAAATACCGAAGTCCAGAGTTTATTCCGTTTACATAAATCAAACGCCCAAAGCGTCAAACTAAACTATTACAAGGGAAAACATCCACCTTGGCATAAACACAGTGAATAGTAGCTCAACCGAGCTACACGCTCTCACAACAAACAATCACTCACAAAGACAAGGGGAACAGAGGGAACACTTATACACATACTAATTAGGGGAATGAGCACCAGGTGTGTGTGATTGACAAGACATGACAAGTGGAGTGATGAGAATGGGATCGGCAGTAGCTAGTACTCCGGTGACAACGAACGCCGAAGCCTGCCCGAACCAGGAGGGCGGCAGCCTCTGCGGAAGTCGTGACAGCTATATTAAGTTTCCTTCCTATTTTGTGAGCCACACGTTGCTCAACCATGCAGGGTATTAGATTATCTGGTTAGATTACACACCCCTATCTGTTTTAATCCCTATTCAAATTCCTCAGTGGTACCTGAACCCCCAGTGTAGCCAGCCCCTATCCATCCCTCTGGGCGCTGGAGCCTACCAATCATTCTATTAGTGTGTTGTTCTGTGGAGGTCATACAACACCACTCCTTTTAAAGCAGCTCTCTGCTCTGAGGGAAGGAAACTGGAGCCTGTATGAATCTAAAGACTCTTTTGTGCCATTTCCACATCAGCTTATTGGTAAATGCACTCACATCTCCACTGGCAACAGGCCACAGAGAGAATCACCATGGTGACCACAACAGACCTCTGGGAAAATGGTCAGATACCCCATCTCTAAGCTCGGACCCCCCTCCCTGGCCCCCCTCCCTGAGGGAAAGACAGACACTACTTGGTTAAGAGAGGGGGCACGGTTTTCGAATAGGGGTGCATGAAAGCCCAGTGAACCCCCAGGAGAGCCTCTTTTCTGGGCCACAACCCTGGGCGTCTCGCATTTGAACAATGGCGGTTAAATTTCCTACCTTGGGCTTCAGCTTTGAGCTACCTGTCTCTTCTTCCCCAACCCCATTTCACCCCCAAACTACCCTAACTCTCATTCAAAATGGTTCCTCTCCTAGGTCAACCAGGCTCCTTATACCCTGAAATGATTTACTGTCCACAAACCTCTCTTACCTCAAATTCTCTATTGTTATTGTTGTATTGGACTGTGTTCATAATGTTGTCTGCCAGGGCATCTAGGATATACGCCCGATCCTTCTCTGACTAGATCTGCAGTTTTGAACATAAGCTGAGAGACAGAGTGAGTGAGAGACAGAGAGAGTGCTGCGTTACAGAGACTGAGGGCCACTGCTGATGACAGTATAGGCATTCATGGAACTAGACCTCTGTATAAGTAAGCCTGGCACGCTAATGGTACAATAGTATTTATCTTTGTCTAAACAACCTCATCTTCTACACTAGGACACTATTGTTCTGTTTTAGAGTCAATTTGACACTAGCTCGCTCCTTTCTATCTACTCCTTTTTGTGCAAGGGGAAACATACACACATTAAACATAAAACTACCTGGAAGTGTAAGCAGAATACATACAGTGGGGGAAAAAAGTATTTAGTCAGCCACCAATTGTGCAAGTTCTCCCACTTAAAAAGATGAGAGAGGCCTGTAATTTTCATGATAGGTACACGTCAACTATGACAGACAAATTGAGGAAAAAAATCCAGAAAATCACATTGTAGGATTTTTAATGAATTTATTTGCAAATTATGGTGGAAAATAAGTATTTGGTCACCTACAAACAAGCAAGATTTCTGGCTCTCACAGTGTCACGGAATCAGCCGAGGCTGCTCCTCCTCCTTGCTCTGGCAGGTTTCGGCGTTCGTCGTCCCCGGAGTACTAGCTGCCACTGATCTATGTTTCGGTGTTTGATTTGTTTTGTCCTGATTGTGTACACCTGTTCCCCATTATGTTGTATTGTTTCCCCTATTTAACCCTCTGTCGTGCATTGTGTGTTGTGTGTTATTGTATTCGTCTTCGGCAGTGTTAGTGTGCGGGTTGTTTTCCTCCTTGTATGGAGATGGTTTTCTTTCCTGGTTACTGTAAAGTAAAGTACGTTTCCAGTAAGCTCTGTGTCCTGCGTTTGACTTCGCCTACCTCATTTCACCGTCGCCACCTGACAGAATAACACACCTTCCCATGGAGTCAGCAGGATCAGCGGTGCCAACGGGGTCACTGGAGGAGCGCGTAATCCACCAAGACGCCATGATCCAGAAACTGGGCACCGCCATGCAAGATGTGATGAACACCTTGAGCCGATGGGAGAGAGGAGGTTGGCCCACACCTCCTCCAACAATACCACCACCCTCAGCCATACCCATCGTTCCATCTCCGGAGTCCAGTGGGATTCGGCTCTCGCTCCCGAGGGCTTATGATGGCACCGCGGCCGGGTGTCAGGGTTTCCTGCTCCAAGTAGAACTCTACCTAGCAACCATTCACCTGGCGCCCTCGGGATACGAGAGCGTTTCCGCCCTCATCTCCTGTCTGTCCGGCAAGGTGCTGGAATGGGCCAACGCCGAATGGGGTGGGATAGACGCCGCTACGGTCAGCTATGCGGAGTTCACCCGCCGCTTCCGGGCATTATTCGATCATCCCCCAGAGGGTAAAGCGGCGGGTGAGCGTCTATTCCATCTTAGACAGGGGAGGAGGAGCGCGCAGGAGTTTGCGCTGGACTTCCGGACGCTAGCAGCCAACACGGGATGGAATGAGAGGGCCCTCATCGACCACTACAGATGCAGCCTGAGGGAGGACGTGCGTCGGGAATTGGCCTGCAGGGACACCAACCTCAGCTTTGACCAACTGGTGGACATGTCGATTCGCCTGGATACCCTGTTGGCTACCCGCGGACGTCCGGATTCGGGGCCGCCCATTCCATCCCCCAGCACTTCCGAGCCGACCCCTATGGAGCTCGGGGGTGCTGGTGCTAGGGAGACCAGGAGGGAGGCCGTCCCCTGCACCAACTGTGGCCGCAGAGGACACACTGCTGGTCGGTGCTGGGGAGGGTCTCCTAGGAATCGAGGCAGTGGGCGACGCACTGATGAGTCATTCCAGGTGAGTAGGCACCCAACTCACCCAGAGCTCTCTGCTGATCATATGTGTATTAAAGTGGTGTTTCCCGAGGTTTCTCCTCACTCCCAGCATAAGGCGCTAGTAGATTCAGGCACAGCTGGGAATTTCATTGATCGCCAGTTCACCTATAAGTTAGGGATTCCTATCGTACCTGTTGATGTGCCCTTCCCCATTCATGCCCTAGATAGCCGCCCGTTGGGGTCTGGGTTGATTAGGGAGGTCACGGCGCCTCTCCGGATGAAAACGCAGGAGGGTCATGAGGAGATTTGTATTTGATTGATTCTTCTGCGTTTCCCGTGGTGTTGGGGCTTCCCTGGTTAACAGCTCATGACCCCAACATTTCATGGCAGCAGAGAGCTCTCCAGTGATGGTCTGATCAGTGTACTGGGCGGTGTGTAGGCGTTTCCGTAGGGGCAACGACGGTGGAAAGCCCGAACCAAGTTCCCGCCTTACATATTCCACCTGAGTATGCCGATTTGGCTCTCGCCTTCAGTAAGAAGGCGGCGACTCAATTACCACCTCATCGACAGGGGGATTGTGCGATAGACCTCCAGGTAGGCGCTGCGCTTCCACGTACTCATGTGTATCCTCTGTCTCAGGAGGAGACGGCCGCTATGGAAACCTACGTCACCGAATCTTTGAGACAGGGTTACATACGGCCGTCTACTTCCCCTGCTTCCTCAAGTTTCTTTTTTGTGAAGAAGAAGGATGGGGGTTTACGCCCGTGTATTGATTACCGTGGTCTAAATCAGATCACCATCAAATACAGCTATCCTCTCCCTCTGATTGCTAGTATGACGGAGTCATTACACGGGGCGCGATTCTTCACAAAATTGGATCTTAGGAGCGCGTACAACCTGGTGCGCATTAGGGAGGGAGATGAGTGGAAGACAGCATTCAGTACCACCTCGGGTCACTATGAGTACCTCGTCATGCCATACGGGTTAATGAATGCTCCTTCAGTCTTCCAATCACTTGTGGACGAGATTTTCCGGGACTTGCATGGACAGGGTGTTGTGGTATGAGGCGGCAGGTAGCTTAGTGGTTAAGAGCGTTGTGCCAGTAACCGAAAGGTCTCTGGTTCTAATCCCCGAGCCGACTAGGTGAAAAATCTGTTGATGTGCCCTTGAGCAAGGCACTTAACCCTAATTGCTCCTGTAAGTCGCTCTGGATAAGAGCGTCTGCTAAATGACTAAAATGTAAATGTAAAATGTATATATTGATGACATTCTAATATATTCCGCTACACGAGCCGAGCATGTGTCCCTGGTGCGTCGAGTGCTTGGTAGACTGTTGGAGCATGACCTGTATGCGAAGGCGGAGAAATGTCTGTTCTTCCAGGAGTCCATCTCCTTTCTGGAACTTCGGTTGTCCGCGTCAGGGGTAGAGATGGAGATTGACCGCGTTTCTGCCGTGCGTAATTGGCAGACTCCCACCACGGTAAAGGAGGTGCAGCACTTCTTGGGTTTTGCCAATTACTACCGGAGGTTTATCCGGGGCTTTGGACAGGTATCGGCTCCCATTACCTCTCTGCTAAAGGGGGGTCCGGTGCGCCTGCAGTGGTCAGCTGAGGCGGACAGGGCGTTTAAACGTCTGAAGGACCTGTTTACCTCGGCTCCGGTGCTGGCGCATCCGGATCCCTCTTTGGCATTCCAGGTGGAGGTGGGCGCTTCTGAGGCTGGG